AATTTAAAACAAAATCTAACCCGAAACACTGGTGGCGTGAAGTAAAACGCCTTAGTGGAATGGTATCCCTTTCAAGCCTACAGGATTGTATCCAATCAGAAAACTTGGAACACCTGCCCTTGGCCGATTTGGCTAATGATATTAACAACGCCTTTCTAGAACCCATGCAGAAGTTTGATCCTTTCAACCCTGATGATGACCAAACCCAGGCATTAAAATACGGAATTTTTACAAGGACACACTTTGCCTTCAGAGGCGTACTTTTTGTATAAATGCGCCGACTCACGAGAACGAGTGCCGAAGCCACAAGTTTAGCGTCAAAGACGCGAACTTTTAAGGGGGTCTCTGAAATGGCATTTCCAGAGTTCTGAGAACAGAATTTGCAAAATCTTTGGCCATTTTGTGTGGATTACATTAATATATTTTCAGTTTAATATATTTTCAAGCACACACTTTTCAATTTACAAGGGCACATTCGCCTTTTACAAGGACACAAAGTGTGTACAAGGACACGCTATTTTAATGCCTGGCCAAACCAATAGAATGTCTGATCAACCTCTTGACATCACTATACAGTGGGAAACATATAAAAAACTCAAATTACTAAGTACCTCTAAAGCACCAGGTCCTGATGAAGTTCGAATGTTGTCTACAAGGAATATGCCGAGATTTTGGCATGCCCAATCTCTAGCTTGATCAACTGAGTGTTCACTCCGCCATCAATTATTACCAAGCTTATGGAAGTTGGCGAACTTTATCCCAATTCCAAAGGAAAAGGTTGTATGTGATATTAATAAACACTTAAGACCCATATCTCTTACTTGTTGTCTCTCAAAACTGGCTGAGGAATTTGTCATTAAAAAGTTTGTCACCCCTGCCATCCTGAAAGGTCCTGAAATGCACCGACCTTCACCAGTTCGGAGGAATACCAAGGTCATCTTCAACTATTACCCTTATTGGTATATTGCACAACTGGGCTAAAGCACCGATGGTACTGGAAATTCCATGCGAGTACTTCTTGTTGATTACAGGAAGGCTTTTGATCTTATTGACCACACAATCTTGATCAACAAAATTCGCCAACTGCCCATCCCAATTTATGTCATAAATTTGCTTATTAGCTTTTTGTGTGGTCGGAAACAGCGCGTGAAACTTGCAAGGGACTGTGTTTCTGAGTGGGGTAATGTCCCTAGTTGCGTCCCACAGGGCACAAAGTTGCGACCTTGGTTGTTTATTCTCGTGATAAACGATTTGAAGCTAATGGACATCACCCACTGGAAATACATTGATGATACAACAGTCTTGGAAACTATCCCAAGAAACGGAACCAGCCAAATCCAATCCGGAGCTAACGACTTGAAATGTGGAACTTGCAGAATAAATTCCAATTGAATGTTCAAAAATGCAAAGAGCTTTTGTTTCAATTCCACAGAAATAGAGTATCCTTTGATAGTATCCATCTTTTTGTGGGGTGTCCAAACCTGGTTCGCCAAGCTAAAATTCTCGGTGTCACGGTTAGTGATGATTTAAGATCGTCTACGCATGTCCTAAACATAATAAAGAAAGCGAACCAGAGAATCTTCTTCATAGTCCAATAAAACGAGCCAAAATACCAGCCAAAAAAATTCTAAACTTTTATTGTTGCTGTGTCAGACCGGTTCTGGAATACGCTTGTGAGGTATTTCACTAATTGCTCTGCCTAAGTATCTCAGTAATAACATAGAAGCCGGTTTTTCCCGGTTTGTCTTACAGCGAGCGTTTGGACAAAGCTAATTTGACACTCCTAAGCGATCGTCGAAGGCATACTTGCTCCAAGTTATACAATCAGATAACTAAGGGACCTGCACACAAGTTGTCGAATTTGTTTCCTGCACGTCCTCCTATCACCAACGACTTGCGTAGTATACGTGTCTTCCAAACACCGGTGATTAAAACTGACAGATTTTTAAAAACATTTATTCCTTCCTGTATTAAAGAATTCTATTAAGCGTAATCTTCGCAGTTTTTGCTATGTAATAATTTATATAATTTTTTGAGTAACACACTTTAACATATTTGTAACTTCCTTTTATATACTCTTTTTAGATAAACTTTATTCTCATAATTACCATTGTTGTAAAGTAACACGCAATCCAGTCGTACTCGGCTGCAATGTGTTTTCTTATTAAATCTATCTATCTATGTTGAGGTAATTGACTGCTGGCTCGAGCGAGCACATGAGCGATCAGCTTCTTCGACGGATCGGATCCATTTAGGAAGACCTACGCATTTCGAATTCGGTTGAGAAGATTACGTTAGAATCCGGGTGTTGAAGATGGAGGAGGAGGAAGAGGAAAAGGCGAGGCGCGCGGGTGAGGCGAACATTGTGGTGCAGATGCGCGCAGGGGAGGCGGAGATGCTGGACGAGATGCTGGACGAGATGCAGGCCGAGGCTGAGTTGCGGGAAGCTCTGTCCCGTTAGATCGGCGAGATATCGGACATGTTCGATGGTCTTAAGGTGTAATTTTTAATGGGTTTTTTATATTAAAATTTAAAAACAAAGTTTTCCTAAGGTAAATAAAACAATGAGATTCCCAAGCATTACCGACAAAGTCCAATGCGAGGAGACCGGTTATTCGAACAGGGTCCTGACCGTATCGACCAAAAATTTTATTAGCGGCAGACAGGCTAAGCATAGGATCAGGTTCGGAAAAGGATGGATGGGAGAGGATTCCGAGATTCGGTATGTTCATTATCGTCATCGTGAGGGTATGAAAGAGATTCACGTTCTGGTATCCATTACTTCTGATGTTCCGGTGACGAGCTGCTGGCTGGAAAGTCCGACGGATCGGGTTCATTTGAGAAGACCTACGGATCATTCGGAATTGTATTCCGTATCGGATACCCTGGAGTACGAGGGAACGGTAGAAGACTACGACCACGGACTTTAGGCTGAGCCAGAGCTGCATGGACACATAACTTTTGATATCAATGTTTAAAGACAAAGTTTTCCTACAAATAAAAACAATGGTCAGGGAAAATATGTTCGAACATTACTCCGGAAAGGCAAGGTACGTCCAGAAGCCAAAGGCGATCGAGACGCCCAACCGACAAGCAATGCCACGACTACATGATGTGGGCGTACCGGAAGGGAATAGCCAAGGATTTTTGGCGTAAGCACATGATGCATAATCTTATGTATTTTTCCGGTTAAAAAATAAAATGTTAACATTAAGAGAGCAATTATTGATTTTAATGATGTTTTGCCAAACGTTTTGTTTCACGATTATTACATTACTGAATCCGACATCCATGATCCTACTAGTATTTATTTTGCTAAAACATTCTTAATGAAAATGTATCATTAAAAATGTTAATTTATTTCTCCTTTTCTGGATAATATACCTTCGTACTGACCACATGTTTTCCGACGATAATTCCGCCGCTTAGTATTCCGATGAGCGGGATTTACGGTGTTACGGTGTTACGGTGTTACGTAACCGACAAGGTTTTTAGGTCTTTTCTGAGCAGACAGTTTTCCGCGAGTTCTTTTTTCATTCCTTCGATATCCTTGACAGCTTCCAACGCCTGCATAAGATCGGAAAACTTGATAATCATCAATAACCATAACTAACCATCAATATAATGGTTATATTGATAACCATCAATCTAATCCAACGCACAGAAATACTTCAACGACGCGCGACTAAGTACGTCTTGGATCTACCCTTCCGTTGTGAAACTACATACAACCAGAGACTTTCACGTTTAGGGCTTATTCCATTGAGCTACTGGCATGAATTTCTGGACATGGTTGTGTTCTACAAACTAATTCGTGGACTCATGAGAATTGACGAACATTTCCTGCCTCAACCAACAAGTGTCAACAGCCAAAGGGAAACAAGATCATCCGATCCTGACCATTTGTCATTCATGACAACACGATGCAAGACAACCACATTCCAAAAGTCCTATTTAAATAGATGTACCAGAATGTGGAATGTACTGCCAAAGAACTTGACAGGCAATAACACCAACCTTAGTCAGTTAAAAAATGGACTTTTCATGTACTATAAAGTAGCATTACAAACTGTCTACGACGTGGATGATCCAAGAACATGGAAATCAATATGTTTGTCCTGTAACAAGTCCCGTAATCTGTCCTGTGAAGTATCGTGTTGTTATTAGACAATAGTTTAATGTTTGTGATGTCGTATCTTATATGTAAGGGCCGCTGTAATTGGCGTAAGCGGTAGCGTGTTCCCTGCCATTGTCCATATATGTTTTTTCTGTGTTTTAATGTTTATTGGCAAAGTTAAATAAATAAATAAATAAATAAATAATGACGACGTCGCAAATTTTTTTTCTGTAGACAGTCGGACTCCTCATTGATAGTCGGACGCATCATTGATCCGCGTCCAGGCCTCCGCGCGTTATCGATGGATCCCTTCGTAACCCACTGGTGCACCATATATCCATCACTCCACGTTGTTCTTCTTCGACCACGTATAGAAAGATGAACGACTTAATTCGCGATGCCATAATAAATCTACAAACTTGTTTTTCTGGTTTCGAAAATACTCAAAAACTGTTATTGCGAGTTAAAACTATATATCATCCCAATTGAGGAGAATCAGGATAAGATAACTAGCCGGCCACTATTTCACTGGATACGTATATACCAGATCTTATTGCCTCGTTCTAATATACACAAACTAATTATTACGACAATATTACGAACTGATACTATAAAGGAAATATCATGCAAGACTTTTAATGTTTAATATTATGCTTAGTATGCTTTATAATATAAAATGTTTCCTCCCAGCGACGCTAATTAATCATAATCTGTCAAACACCAATGTCCGGTTGTGAGGAACTTATTTACATATTACACCAAATTTGAGCTCTCTATAGCATGAGAATTTAATCTATTAATGCTAACTAACTATCGCCTTAATCTCAAAATAACTACTTGACTGTATATCCACGTATTCGCGTATCCACTAGAATATAGAGCTACCTAGCTATAGCTATAGAATGAGAATTTGATCTAATGCTATAAATCTAACTGTATACATGCCTAGTTCTCAAAATGACTACTTGACTGCGTATCCACTAGAATATAGAGCTACATTTAACACTATGACAATTTAATCTATTAATGCCAAGTCACTGTATGCCTCGTAGCTACCTTTACCACCATCGGATTTAAATCTATCAATCTATTTATTGCTAATCTATTGAGAATACATGTACATACATCGTATCCATGCATGATGTTTGAAAGGCATAGCTTATAAAGTGGACAAGTATTTTGTAATCGTTCCTGTCAGATGTCATCACCACACAAGATATGAAGCCACAATGTGCCCTGCTCAGATTTTGACATCTCAACCAAACAATACAGCCATTAATACTGATTTTGAAATCACCAATTGCGTGCGGAAGACACACAGGGAAGGCGCATCTAATAAGAAAGTATCCGCTGAATAATTTGTTTAAGGGCGCGGGTCAATGATGCGTCCGAGTATCAATGAGGAGTCCGACTGCCTACGGAAAAAAAATTAGCGACGAGGACAGCCAGTTGGTTGTTTGTGTTTTCCAGCTTCTGCCTTTCGTATTCTTTGTATTATGCTTTCTAGTGTTTTTTTCGGATGCTTTTTTGATGTGTTTTGTGGTGTATTTAATTTCGCCTGCGTCGTCCGGTTTTAGTAGCTCTTCCCTTCGATCGCTTTGGTCAGCGGTAGGTACTTCGAATACCTCAGGCTTCGTAGATTCCAATACGTTTTCCATTCCTTTATTTAATATGCGGAATAATTATATTATGGTATAAGGACGGCGTAATAGTATTTCCAACCTGGTGTAGTCATTGCTTTTTAGCGTATTCATAATTCCCTTTCTTTCCTCTTTTTCTACATCGGCTAAGTAATCGTCTAATATGATGTTCGTATTTTTTGCGCTTGGATTGTAAAAGGTTACGAGTTTATTTTAAATATATTTTCTGTAGGGTTTCGCAATGGATGTGAGTTGCTGGCTGATGACGATAGTTGAGATTCTGATCCCATGTGTCTGGCACTGAGCACGAGTTTTACCAGTTCGCTGGTTCTGTTTTTAACGGATTTACTGCTCGCACAATCGTCGAGAACAGTTAAACTGTTCATTCCTTCAGGGAACCAGGAGACGTGTTTTAGATGTATAGTTCCACATTATCCCGTTTACAAGATGTAGCTACAAAGTCTTTGTCCTTATTGTATTTCCATTCCTGGTACGTTTTGTTCAATTCGTATGTTAGTGGACATCTTAGAAATATAGATAGATAGAAAAACTTTATTTAATCACGCTAACCCCGTCAACCGAAGCTGATTTCCACGAGGGGCGTGCGAAAAAGTATACAGAAAATAATTTTAAAAACTATTTACAAAATTATATAAGATATATAGTTTTATATGAACTAACAAAATTAACTATAAGTAATAATCTATTTACAGGTATATAGACTTATATATTATGATCGAAATGATTCTTATAGTCGTTTTCCAACATTTTAGTAAGTAATATATGTTTTCCCACATCCGTTCATTCCGAGGATGATCATGTTGAATGGTGTTTTTAGAGGTTCCATTTTTTATTATTTATTTAGTAATTAATACCTTGGAGGGTTTTTTCGCTAATAACGCGTTCCAAACTATCTTTGCATTTTCCAAAATAATATTTTTTCGACAAAAACAGCCTTATTTACAACATTTTGCTGACCCCAAAAACTTTTCGTTCAAAACAGCCCAATTTTGCAGATAAAAATAGCGCCTCCGTAAAAAATTATAATATCTGCAATACATGCGACAGTATCTTACGATTTCAAAACCACCTTGGATAAATAACGAAATTTGCAACATTCCATTGGGTAGGAAACATATGAAAGTATCATACAATGTTTTCTATATAGTTTAGGTGCTCTTATTAAAGCAGGCGAGACAAGACACTGGAGAAACTAGACGTCCAAAGTATCAGAAATTATGACACTTTCAAATGCTTCTAAATCACAAATACACTGAAAACTGCCGAGACCACAGACTCTAATGAAAGTATCAGAAATTCTGATACCTTCTAATGCGGCTAAATCACAAATACACTGAAAACTGCAGAGACCGCAGACTACCGAAAGTATCAGAAATTCTGACACTTTCAAATGCTTCTAAATCACAAATACACTGAAAACTGCAGAGACCGCAGACTACCGAAAGTATCAGAAATTCTGACACTTTCAAATGCTTCTAAATCACAAATACACTGAAAACTGCAGAGACCGCAGACTACCGAAAGTATCAGAAATTCTGATACCTTCAAATGCGGCTAAATCACAAATACACCGAAAACTGCAGAGATCGCATGCAGACTATGACCGAAAGTATCAGAAATTCTGATACCTTCAAATACGGCTAAATCACAAATACACTGAAAACTGCAGAGACCATGCAGACGTCCAAACTCCGAAGTATCAGAAATTCTGACACTTTCAAATAACACGAAATATTATATACAGGGATATTCGATTGAAGGGTTTTTTTATAATACTTTAAAAAAATCATAATTTTCTCCAAATTCCACAATCGCCTAGGCGTTTTTGCCAAGAGTAGCATGTCCCGTAATTTTACGGTTTAGTGAGATATTTTAAACATGCGCAAATTTTGCCAAACATGTGTAACAACGTAATAGATTTTCACGCCAATATGTTGGCATGAAATAATTCAGACTTATTCAAATATTAGCTAAATATTATAATCAAACCAAGCTCTGCACAAAAAAGTTAAATACCGTTCTGGTTTTAAATAAATATTGGGGTTGCAAAAGTGTAGATCCTAAATACAGTACATATAGTATATCACAGAGAACTGCACTGTCTATATAAAATTAAACAATATTCAAACGCCAGTGTTGCTTGCGTAGTTGT